GGCCGTTCCATAATTAACCCTAACCGAAATCCATGCACTCAAGTCCCACATGCTCTTAGTTTATCGCTATACTTCTACGCCCCCACCCCCGCTTACATTTTGAGATTTTATTCACTTTTTCTTTTTCTTTTTTTAATAGGAGTAGATAGGTTCGCTTATCACCCGGTTCAACTTCCTACCTCATCTTTTGAAGAGGAGTAGTTGTTTATACCTCGGTTTCCTATAATGGGGCTTCCGGCCCCTTCTTTTGAGGCTTTGTAAGTACATTATTGTCATAAATAAATAAAAAATAAAATATATAATAATAATAATAATGAAAATTATAAATAAAATAAAACGATAACATAAAAATCTTGTATAAAATAAATTAAATAAAAATAATAAAAATACTCCCAGCATGCAGCAAAAACTGTTCCTGCCGGGAATATGGACATCCTGCCAAAAGACGTTGAAGTCAATCTTCAATTCGCCACGAATCTTAATACGGGCAACACGTGTCCGCCTGCTTTCTCTGATAACACGGAATAATTTCTCCCTTTTATTACATGTACTATAAAACGATTGTAACTTAAAAGATACACTCACCAATACACACACAAAATTATAAATAAATTGTATGAAATTAACATACAATTTAACGTGCTTTTCCTGTTGTGTATGTTTTATTTCCCGTCAAGTATGCTTTTATCTCTGTGAACAAAAGGCTAGTTTCTGCTACTATGATGTGAGCGAATCCCCCACAGCGTTAATAAGTCGTAACTTTTGGCTACGACTCTTCATATTTCGTGTATTTTTATTTATTTTCATGTTCGATTTCTTTGGATATTTTTACCTTTGAAGATTTAAAGATAGAACTCGTTCCTTACATTGTATAAATCAACATCTGCTTTGGAGTGGTACATTCTATTGCTTATTATTATTATTATTATTATTATTATTATTATTATTATTATTATTATTATACACGTTTTTAAAAAAAATAGAGACGCGATTGAAAACCGGCTTTTCTATGAGAACTTTTGCACACATCTAAATAGAAAAATGAAAAACATTTTTAAAGCGAACAAAATAGCCATTTTCAAAAAAATAAAAATGAACGCCCTATAGTAAATGACGGTTGTGACGTCACGCTCACATGACGTCATTTGACGTGATATTATTTTCCCCTGCTTTCTTTCTTTCTTTCTTTCTTTCTTTCTTTTTTTCTTTTTCTTTCCCATTCCAACCGTCATGCGTCTTGTCAAGTTTCACTATTTTTTTTGTCTCTCGAAACTTTATTTACTTCAGAGCGTAAAAACATTTAATTCGTCCCCATTTCATCTTATCTTTTCATCGCAACGATCGGGTCGTTTTACATTCTACCAATGTTAAGTAAGCAACCTGGATCCAAATAAAAGAAATAGACTCCGACTGTAAGATAAAAAAATAAACAAGTAAAAAAAATAAGGTTTTAATCTAAGAAATTCAGCAACTTAAAACTATTACATCTGCAACTACTACAAGGTGTAAACAACAATACGTAGTAAAAAAAAATCAAAGAAGTAAGGACTTGGCGATAAAACTTTGCTTATTTGTGGCGAAAACGAAAGGATGTTGTCTGTGTCCGAATATGGGTGCGTGTTCAAATCTCATCAGAGGCTACTTCTTTATTTAACGACTCATTCTTACTTAACGACTGTAGAATTTAAAACAACCTCATCGACAACAATGTGATAAAAGATAAGTGAGATACAATTAATAATCATTACCTCTATCCCATAATATTTGTTATATTGGTAAAGTTTAACATATGATATATACGAGTCCTTAATGGCTTTATAAGAGTCTCTATTCTATATAAGATACAGCAGGCATAGAAATTTAAAGACAGCATAATTTTTACGCCATTTTATGATGCTTTATTTAGAATAAAACCCACTATTGTATTATTGAAGTAATTATAAACATTATTAATTTTGTCCTAACTACATAGAACGTGACACGAAAGATATAAATAAATAAATGCACAACGGTAATTATTATAGTGTTGAAGTGTTAATGCTGATTATTTTATATTGATATAATATTATATTAAATATATTTATATAATGCTGTTAATTAGCCAAGAAAAATAATTCAACTCAGAATTAATCAAGATTTATTTACTTAGCTTAATACGTTTTTATTTGATTTGTTTAATGGCACATCAACCCCTCATGAGCCATTTAATGCCGAGATTTACTATTCTTGGGAGCTTTGAAGTAATAAAAATATGGTATATGTTCTTCTGCTTTCACAATAGAATACATGGTAAATGATACTCAGCTTTTGTGTATATACATTTTTGTGTGGACGTTATTACTAGAGGCGGAGATATGTATGTTTTTGTTGAAGTTATATATTGGAATGTGATTTAATTTCTTTAAATAATTGGAGGATATTATATAGATTAATGTCATGAAAGTTCTTTCATGTTTCTTGTTTGATTCCGTTTAGTGGCATATCAACACCTCTATGGGTTATTTAATAACGAAATCTAAATATTTGAACACCATTTATGTCTTCGACTAAATATATTTTGAATCTAATTGTATGCCTTGAAATGTATTGCAGGTAATTTTACTATAAAATGTGTTGCTGGTAATCTTACTATAAATTGTATTGCTAGTCATCTTGCTATAAAAAATTATTGTTAGTAGTTTTTATATTAAAAAAAGTATTGCTGGTAATTTTACTATAAAATTTGTTTTTAAACTTTCATATTATTTTGGTTTGGGGATTCACTAATAGCCAATAGCTGCGACCCTAACAGGTGCTTCTACTCCGGCTCAGGATGGGCTTGGGTAAAACAGCAATTAAGAAGTGTTTCACATTCCTCAAAACCTCGAATCTCTCAATCAGAGCCCTTGCTGTCGGATGTAGTTTATCGTCATACCCAGGATTTAGTATGACACGAAAGATATAAATAAATAAATAAATGCACAACGGTAATAATTATAGTGTTGAAGTGCTGATGTTGATTATTTTATATCGATATAATATATTTGCATAATGCTGTTGATTAGCAGAGGAAAATAACACAACTAATAATTAATCAAGATTTACTTACTTTAGCGTGACACGAAAGATATAAATAAATAGATGCACAACGGCAATTATTATAGTGTTGATTTTCAGTCATAAACTGTAGTAAAGAAAAAAAAACATTGATTTCTAAAGCAGAAGCAGTTAAAAGTATTTGAGGAAAAACTCTACAGACAGACATTTTAACGGATGGTTAAAATTTAACGGATGGTTAAAATTTAACGGATGGTTAAAATTTAACGGATGGTTAAAATTTACTCAGCTTAAACTTCAATTATTTTTATACTTTATTGTATTTTCAATGGATCATAATTTCTCCGTCTTTGTCGCTTGTTTGATATTCCACAACGTTTCAGTCGTCTACTTTCTGGCCTTCTTTTGGGTGGCTGTTGCATTCTGGGATGTTGTCGAATCAAACAACAAACACAAGGAAACTAGTTCGCAAAAAAGTGAAGAAAAATACAATCATTTACAAATATATAAATTATTAAAAAAACTCCGATTAACAAAATTTCAGTCAAGAAGCTTTCTAATTTCTTGTCTGAACTCTAGGATCCCAGTACGAGCCAGTATGTTTATTCTTTCATGCTTGACCGTACGCCTATTGGTGGCTAAATGTATATTTGTGTGCCCAGAAAAGAGTCAGTGTATGTCTGTGTGTATGTGTCAGACGTTGAGGGTGAGTAGTTGTACGTTTGCGAACCATTAAAACGATCATTTTCCGCTCACCTACACCGTCCTCCCCTCTCGTTGTAGAGCGAGGATCCAGAAGAAGCAGATATTCCGCACTTAAGACCGAGTCCCAAACGTCCGTAGAGAACACAAGTGAGAAGAACGGAAGAAAACACAAACGCGAACATGTCAACGCAAGAGGGTGCCATCTTTAATCTGTTAACTTTGAAAAGCCGATAGGCTGGACGGAGATAATTTGTGACCCTTTTCAAAAACCAAAATTTTTTAATTTTTTTTTATTTTTATCTACATTTTCGGGCTAGCCTTAGAATTCGATTAGGTCATTAGTTGTTTTGTTTTTTATTGTTTCGTTTTGTTTTAAATCGATTTGATTATTTGACCACCTTTTAGTAGCGGGTTTGGAACAAATGTTCGTAGCGTTTTGCCATAGGTGACCTTTGAACAAGTGCTTTTCTTTCACACACACACACACACACACACACACACACACACGCACATGGTGCACTCTCCTATCGTGAACGATAAATGGGGGTCAGCATTAGATGGTGCCTTTCGTTTTACACTTAATGCATACTACCAGGGGCTATTATGGAGAAAATCAAGTAAGGGAAAGACACATTTCATTTGTACTTTCTTAAGTGTGATACTAGGACAGCCTTGCCGCGGGTGACAAAGCCACACTGACAGAGGAAATTTGTTAAAGCCGGATTTTGATAGCGTCTCTGCATCTGAGCTTGACGAAGCTGATCACGGGGCTTCAGTCTACTGTCTTCAAAAACCCTTTAACATAATGAAACATGTCTTATGCCACTCCACTTCGGTTTGATGCGTGGCCTTCCCAGGTTTTCAGATCACACTTGAGACGTTTCAAGTTGTCTTTCAATTTGTCGTTGTAGCTTAAGAGTGGACGTCCAACTGAACGCTTGGAGTTTGGTAGTTGTTCATACACCACCTTTTTTGGAAGCCTATGCTTATCCATTCTCACAAAAATGACCACAAAATATATATATATATATATATATATATATATATATATATATATATATATATATTCTGAAAGGTAACATTCCAACGCGTATTTATATACGATTCGTGCGTGGATTGTGAATTTGAAATGATTTTACGTTTAAATTGAAAATTGAGAAAAGTGGGATGTATCTTCGTTTTATGATGCTCTTTTCACTACAGAACGGAAACACAGTTCAAACAGCAAAAAAAAAAAAAAAAAAAGATTTGTGCTGTTTGTGGAGATGTTGCCGTAGCTGAGATTACTTTTCCTAAGCGGTTTGCTACGATTAGAAGTGGGACTTTTGATCTGGAAAACAGAGAATATTCCGGCAGGCTTGCAATCGTTGATGATGACCAAATCGAAGCACTGATTAAAATAATCCTCGTCACTTGACACGGGACATCGCAGAGATACTCCACGTATCTTATATAACGTTTTAAAGTACTCGAAAACACTTGGATACCTGCATCGTGACCATGTTCGGATATCTCATGATTTAACGGAAAGAAATTGAATGGACCCCCATTTCCATGTGCGATTCTCTCTTCAAAAGCCAAAAGAAATACCCATTTTTGACAAGAACGGTCACAGGGGATGAAAAATGGACCTTTCTTACAATAATGTGGAAGGAAAATGTCCCAGAGAAAAAGAAATTAGCCACCGTTAATAGTGATACGGTGTATCTGGCTGGGCCAGTGCAAGAGTCTCGTACCCTCACCGAATCTATGATCGCCCCCAACACCGAATCTAAGTTACGCCCCTCCCCACACCGATACGACCCCCACTCTACTACGTCCCAATTTTCATAAGGTAGTATTTATATAAAGTACAAATTTTATTGTCACCTAATTATGTACAATAATGAATCATATACAATATAGATGAGCAATTCATCTAGAAAAACTGAAAATAAATACATTGTATCTAAATACAAATTAGAGACATGTCATAATAGATCATTCCATCTTAAATAAGAGACATGTCATGATAGATCATTCTATCTTAAATAAGAGAGATGTCATAATAGATCATTCCATCTTAAATTAACAATGTTTTGCGGCAATTTTTGGTAGCAAATTGAGACTCTTCTTGTTAAAAAGTTGAATAATTTTAGCACATTCAACATTATGGATAAAAAATAGTGAATTTTATGTAGTGTTTTTTGGGGGTTTTTTTTTCGAGACTTAGCATGAAAAAAAAATTCACGGATTTGAACGAAAAAAAAAAACCCCGAATGACGTAAAAATCCGCGAAAATGTTTCTTCCTTAATTTTTAACGTATATAAATGTAGATTGAAAAAAATGTTGATAAGATAGCGAGAATCACAAACCACTGGCCATGGCCCCTAATCAAGCTCCCCCGGTTGGTGGTGGGTGAGTCAAGGTAGTATTCGCCGGCCCTGTTATCTAGTGGTATTGAAAGGTTGATGCGTATTACGAGTTCCATTCACAAAATCTAATGTTCCCATTTGAACCAACTACAGGTAGAAGTTGGTGAAAAGCGTCCGAAATTGGTCAATTTGTCGTCTTTCAACAACAGACAACAGACCTCACATCTGTTTACAAACCCGACGGCAACTGGTACAACCTTAGCTGGCCTGTCCTACTACGCTCGACCCACTCAGCTAACCTAACACCCTCGGATTACCACTTATTTCAGTCTCCAAGGAATTCTCTTAATGGGCAGATCTCTGGAAGCCTGTAATAAAACACTTAGACTAGTTCATCACCCAGAAAGATTCCAATTTCTAGGAGGATGTAATCATGAAACTGCCTCAAAGACGTCGTAAGGTGGTGGAACGAAATGCCATATATTTGGTTGAATGAACCCACGTACAAATATCTAAATATATAATTCACTTAAAAACGCTACGAACATTTGTCCCGACCACATAAATGAAAATATAATTTCATAAATGAATCATATAGAAATTAAAAAGTAATTAGACTTCTAGTCAAATCAGATCGACATAGACATGTCGACGCAAAAAAAATAAATAATTGGAAAAACGAAAATAACTAGAAGGAAACCGGTTAGTTTGTAGGCATTTACGGATCCATGATGTTGATGCAAAAGTTTCTAGGGCCTTTTCAAAAGCCTTATTATTTAGAGCAACTCATGGGGTCTTTATTCAGTTAACAATTTATTTTGCATATTTATTTCTGCAATTTTACTTGACTTTTCTTCTAAACGATTTTGATTCGATGAATTTCGAAATTTCGAAACCGCTGACCAGATGCCGGATGTTGAATGAGACATAAGCAGTGACAATACGAAGGTCTGAGAATATGCCTCATGTGGAAGGACTTCCCATCTCAACTCGATGATCATTTAATGCGTGGCATTTGTAATAGGGACATAGACGTTTACATGCAGCAAAAAGAGCAATTGGCTCTCCTGTGAACGCATTATTCTGGGCGAAGAAACCGACTGAGCATTGCACAGTGACAGCTGGTCCAGATTCCTAAAATTTCGTAATAATTATTTTTTAATCCCATCAGGCACAGAGAAGAACTCCCCCCACCCCACCTCAGTAGATTCCGTTCGGGTTGAAATACTGAATTCTCCCCTGGATCTAGCGACGATTTTATTCATTGCGAATTCTTTTAGGTCTGCCTGACGGTTATCGTCGCAAAAATGAGGATCGGCGAGTCGAGTTCAAATTCCGGGCTTGTCTGCTGCGTTTACTTTTACACTAACAGCTTTGAGAAAGGTATGAATACATCTTTTCTCAAGCTGCTCCGTGGCACTAGACACTGGACTCTATTAACTTTGGTTGCAGCCAGCCAAAAAGTGTGGAGAAGGCAATGGGAAACCATTCCATGATCTTTCCGGACGACTCATAGAAATGATCCAGACAAGAAAACAGAATCTGTTAAGAGCTATGATTAGCTACGACCTAAAAGAACATAGCATTTAAGACAGAAAGAATTGTTACAAATTCATGACGGTCGTCTTCGAGTATAGAATCCAGAGGTTGGCAGTGAATATTTCAGAGACAGTAGGAAAGCGTAGTTCAGGTTCGCAGTGGATATCGCAGCAAAGTAGCAGAGCGTAGTTCTTCCTTCTGTCATGTTCGCCTGGCAAGTTGGCTCTGGTCATTCGGGTAGGGTAAACAAAAATGGCCGCCTTTATACACGACGGATACAATGTTCTGAGGCTTCTGATTGGTTAATCTTCTATTGGTAGACTATAAAGGGAATTAAGTCATTTTGACTAACTCACTAGTTACATATATATATATATACACAAAAAACTGTAACAAGAATCCCTGAAAGAAATTTTTTTTTTTTTCACCGCCAGTGACTATTGTGTTTTAGAAATGACATTTTTCTTTCTTGTGAAGCAAAGTTAGAAAGTAGATTATTTGTATGCTGATTGATCTTCCTTTTCGAAAGTTCCTGTGGAACCAATTTGCCCAGCTTTAGAACTTAAAAGACATCTTCCTTACGCTGAATGAATAATGCCACCGGGAACATTTGCACCAATCTAATGTAAACACTAAGCGCTAGATCTGCTAACAGGCAACAATCTTTTTCTTGACTGTATTTACGTGTGTGTAAAATGTTGCTAGAGAGAATCAAGCAAGACACCTTGAACGACAATGATCCTTCAATCCCAATCCATGGCAGATCCATCTGTAAGTTACGTTTTACAGATGACATTGACCTCATAACAGGTAGTAACAATGAGCTCCAAGACTTGACCAAACAAACTTTTTAAAAGAGCAGGGGCATATGGAATGGCGGTCAGCTCTTGGAAATTCAAACTAATGGTGAATATCACAAACAGTAACACCTGTGTCAACATTACCATGAATGGGAATTCACTGGAGGAAGCCTCCAGTTTTAAATAGTTAGGAGCAAACTTGTCTAAAGAAGGTACCTGCAGCTCGGAAATCCGCACGCAAATGGCTAAATTGACAAGAACAAAATCAGCTTTCAAAGTACAGACTGTACAAATCTCTGGTAGTCTCCATTCTCCTATATGGATGTGAAACGTGGACACTGTTGGCAGGAACAGATAGAAGGATCCAAGCGTTTGAGAACAAATGCATGAGAAAACTCCTTGGCGTTTTCTATTGGGAACAAAATAGCCAATGAGTTTGTGCGGAATAGGGTTGAACGTTTTGAGGGACACCAGGAACCTCTTCTCGCCACTGTCAAACGGAGAAAAACGGCATTAAAAGGCATGACAGCCTGTGCAAGACCATCATGCAAAGCACCGTTGAAGGTGGACATAGGATAGTACAAGGACGCAAAAACTGGTTGGACAATGTCAAACAATGGACAGGTATGACTGTACCAGAATTGCTGATGGCTGCCCTTAATAGACCGTTGTGGGGGAGATTTAGTGTGGCTTCTGCATTCAGATCCGCCCTACGATTACAAAAGTCAAGATGATGATGATGATGATAAATATTTCATACTCTGTGTGTGCGTGCGCACGCGCGTGCGTGTTTGTGTGTGAGCGCGGGCACGCGTCTATACGCGTGTATTTTACAAAGAAATATAGGACTAGGCTCTTCAACAGGGGTAATATTTATCAGCAGGCATTGCCTTGGCAGGTGATTCTGCATATCTGCCCACTTCTCCGTCAGTTAATGTGGCATGCCAGCGACTAGGCATTCTCGGCTAAGATATCTGGTAACGTGACAGAGCGCAGGAAAAAGGGAATTCATGACTTTCTCAATGGCAATCGTGCTAAAGCATGATGCTGATTCCTTATAACATAGCGTTGGCGTTACACTACCCACCTAACCAACCATCTCTTTATCACACACACACACACACACACACACACACACACATATATATATATATATATATATATATATATATATATATACGTTATTTTAATAGATACAATTTATTGAAGTAAATGTTCTTTTTTTTTTAAATAAACAGTATTATTTACATTTACAGACCTGAATATTCGAGAAATTTCGTAGAAAATATATGCTTCTCCGACAGGAATCGAACTTGTAACCCCAATGGGAACCATCATTTGAGTTGATGTGCTTTTTCGAACATTAATACGTTTAGTTTTTTTTTAAAAAAAAAGACCATTTACTTAAATAAATTGTATCTATTAAAATATCATATAAACAGAAAATATATTAAATAATTGTCGGACTTAATTCATTTCATAGTATGTTGTCAATGTTTACGTTAAGGTACGTTTCGTGAGCGGATATGATCGTTCGAGAAATATCGTCGAATATTTGTTGTTTATAAATAGTAATTCGGACTTTGCTAACCAGACGCTTCGATTTCATTATATATATATATATATATATATATATATATATATATATATATGAATGATGCATGTCTACTCGATTCCGTGCCTGAGTATTTTCTTAAGCGTAGCTTAGTTATTGATATAAGTATTTGCAATTCACGTAGATTATCGTGATAGATACTTGTACACCATTTTACTGCCATTCTCTGAACTTCTACTACCATAATCCAGTGGAAAGAATGTTCAAAATGGCTGGTGATAACTTTAGTCTCAGATTAGGCAGTTGAATTGAACTTACTTGATACCAATCTCATATTTACTTATAAAAACTGTTTACCTAAAAATCGTTATCCTCCTGAGAAAAAAACATTGGTCGATTATTTTTTGTTTTTTTAAGCAATTGTTATTATTATTAATATACATATATATGAAAGTAAACTTTGTTGTTGTTATTATTAATAATAATAATAAAGTTTACTTTCATATATATGTATACATTTGTTTATCTATGCACAAGCACCCCCCACACACACACAAATACAAATGTGCATATATAGACATAAAATGTTGAATACAGTGGTGTTTATTTTTATGAATAGAAAGATAGCCAAAGATGCCTGCTATAAAGCCTGGAATTTTGTCTGTACCTTGAGTTATATCCCTTGTACTGACGATGCCGTATGGCAGTGTCTTTCTTTTGACAATGGCGGACAGTTCCAACATTTTCACGAAGCCGAGATGTTAAAAGACCGACTCCGTGAAAGTGTAAAATACAACAATATCTATATGCGCGGTACTTATTGGAAAGCGCTCAATATCAGCGATAGAGTTAACATATTTAGTCGCGTTGATGTCAGTTTGTGACCCTGGGTTTCACGCACTTTGCGATCGTTAGACAAACTGATTAATTTGGAAAGTTTGCGTATATCGGTGTTTTTATGGCAGTGGGAGGGAAAATTCTCCTCCTCGGACACCACTCATACATACACGCATGTTCGCGCATTGCACCTCACACAATCATATATGAACAGTGTGTGACTGCGCCTATATGCGCATGCATGAGTCGTTGCGTGCATACGTACACAATTGGTCGCTGTATTCAATGTTGGAATTGTATAGAGAATTTTTCCCAAGCGACTGTGTCAAAAAATAAAAATTTCAAAATTAATCAGTTTATCTGACGAACGCAAAGGGCGTGAAACCCAGAGTCACAAACTCACATCAACGTAACTATATATATATATATATATATATATATATATATATATATATGTGTGTATTTTTTTTTGTATTTTTTTTTTTTGAGCGTTTCACCCCATGCAAAGCGGGAGGCCACTAGGACGCAAGGAGTTACAGAAGATTTGGAGCAAGATCAGATAGGAGTGATAGAGGAAAGGATGAGGAGAAGGATAGTGGAAAGATCAAGGCAACTGGAGATGTCGATTGACATTACATTTGAATATTTGGAGATCATAGCTCTCAGGGAAACTGGAATAAGGAAGGGAGTTCCACAGGCGAGAGGTGCGAGATATGAAACTATAGGAGTAGAAGAGACGGCTACATTTAATAGTTTCGACAGTGAAAGTGTGAGAGCGGGATGCCAGCCTCGTAGGACGCTTGAATTCATGAAGTCTGGGAACCAGCGAATGCAGCTCCTCGGAGCAATTACCATGAAAGTATTTGTAAAAAAGACAGAGAGAGGTGACGGCGCGTCTGTGAGAGAGCGACTGTAGACGAGATGCCAGAACAGAGCCAGTTATATTGCATATCCGCCTCTGGAGCTTATCAAGAACCCCGAGGCAAACAGAAGGGGCTCCGGACCTTATATGGCAGCAATTGTATTATGCATGTCTCCGTTAAAATGCATTCTATTTTACGAACTCGTTCTGTTTCACATAACTTAAACTAACACATGAATCTATTTAAAGTTTTAACTAATTTAAATGTTATGCCCTTTTAGAATGTAGATGATCATGGATTTCTATATTCCTTTTACTTCATTCCTCTATTACCATGGCATCCTGGGAAGAGAGTCGAGTGGTTTCCCTTTGGATTCTCTGAGGTCTGGAATACAGAATTTTCTCTGTCTTCGACTGGTTGCAACCTAGCTACACCGCCCCTGTCTATATGGCGCAAGAAAGGTGGCTAGCAGAAAATTTAAAAGAACGGGAGAAGACAAAAATGAGTCAATGGCCAGCTAAGTAGACGTGGTGTCTCAATAAAATCACCGTGGAGAATACAACGGGAAGCCACCCCCACAATCTTTCCCAGGACAACTCATGGCTGTACACGAAACAAATTTAAGATATTGCTAAATATAAAAAAAAGAAAGAAGCATAGATTAAAAAAAAAACAACAAAAAAACCTTTGTTTAACAGAGTAAGGCCAAATAAAAAAATGAGTTTAGGAAGGCTGTTAAAACTAACTTTCAAAATTTTATTTAAATGTTTAATGTTTTTCTAGCCTTAACAAAATCAATATAATCTATCGGAAGTTCCATTTTTTCCAGGAACGATAAAATATTTTTTTTTTTTTTTAAAAATAAGCATGCTATGTCAGTTCTTTAAAAGAATATAATGAATTTGTTTGTCATACTTGTTTTCAATTCTGACATTACATTTTAAAACAATATTTTTAAACTTTTATTAATATAAAGGAGACTCATGGTCACTTCGAGTCAGTGTAATGATTAGCAAGCTTGTCTCGCTAGAACAATTACGACTAAATAGTGAGTTCGATCCTCATTGGGCGCTCCCTACTTTCGGCCTTGTGCCGCATCTAAGCGACGCATGGAAAATCACTTTGGGCACCTCGAGGTGGTGTAATGGTTAGCAAGATTGTCTCGCTAGATCAATTACGACTGAGTAGTGAGTTCGATCCTCACTGGGTGACCCATACTTTAGGACCTGTGCCGCATCTAAGCTACGCTTGGAAAATCACTACAAAGGAGACTCAATCGATAGACTGCGGCTGGGGTGGGGGGAGACTCCGTCCCACCGTATTATTTCACCCGGCTTGCAGACAATATGGAATATGTTATAATTCCGAAATAATAGGTTTTTTCATATTATTTCCTTCACGAATATTATATTCCCATAATATTATATTATTTGCCGTCCAATGACATGACGAAAGACAAAGGCAAAGACGGCAGATTAACTGACTTTAGCAAATTCTTCCCACCTAAAAGATATTCTGCCTTAAACATTTTCTACCCCCAAATTAATTTCAGCTTTTGGCACGATATACTCTTAGGAAAAGACAATTTCAAAGACGAAGCAACGCTCGGTCAATATCTTGGCCATTTACTTTTATGCCGATAGAAGCAAAAATCTTGAACCATTTTTGATTTAGTTTTACTTGCTAAAAAGAATTTTATATTTTTAATCAATTAACCCCAAGCAAGGCGATACTTGGGTTGGACTTTGGGGGCTTACAGTACCAGGTGTTCCCAAGCGGTCCCCCATCTAAGTACTGACCTGGCTCTACGATGCTTAACTCCGGTGATCGTGATTTGACCGTAAGCACTTCAGTCCAACCCTTACCTCACAGTCGGTGGGGGGGGTGTAAACGGTAGTGTCAGAGCTATGCCGCCCGGAACTTCGTTCCTGGTAGGGCCACCCAATGCGGACAGGTCTGACACACACGCCGGCTAACAAGGGCTCTGGTGAAAATCCAAGGAGCGTCTGCATCGGTAACCGGCGGCTTCTGGTCGTTCCTGTCTCTGCGTCTGTGGGAATCCCGCGGCAAGCAAGAACGTTATTCGAGTAGGCCTGGGTACCCTACTTCTGTAATTTATCCCAAGAATCTTCTTCTCATAATAGGAAGAAGCCGGCTCAATCCGCCCAGGGTGAATGCCGCATCAGTACAGTACAGTACAGTAAGCAAGGCGATAATACGACTAAGATTAACGGGATGGAAAGAGAATGAAAAGACTTTAAAAGAAACCGGAAATCCAATCCTAAACAGGAAACAAGGAATAAACCTCTACTCCTGTTCAAAAGACCAGCGAGATGTGTGAATCGAATGACATTGATATTTAAATAAAACGGTTTAAATTAAATGATTAAAACGGATTGCTTTTTGTGGCTGAGAGGTTTGAAGCAATTCTGGCTAAAAGATGGTTTCTCCAATGGAAGGGAAATGCAGGTTCGAATCCCGTCAAAAACCCCCTTCTCTTTATTAAGACTCTCGAATGGCCAGGCCGGTTGACAACAATTACGCCGATTAAAATAACAGCGATGTCTTTTTAAACAAGTGTATCCATTAAATGTAATGTTTATAATAAGAAGAAATATACACGTATGTGTTTCTATGGTTGTATTTTGAGTCCTTGGTTATCAAATCCAAAATCATTGCCAATATGATCTGTTATCTTAACCGATTACTGTCCTAAATCGCAGACTATCTGATCAACGAAGAGATATATTAACACACTTCGAAACAAGTGATTTTACATGTACGGAACTGGACTATTGAGTATTTTAAAGAAGTAACACTTATTTTAAAAACTTAAAATGAACCAGTGCTATATCTTACCAGTATTAAACATTAAAAAGTTTTTTTAAAAAAGTTTAAAATCCAACCAATACAAGACTCAAAGGTCATTCAAAATATAGAAGGTTATTGTTAAGTGTGTTTGAAGAATGTGATGTAGGATATGAGTGAAAGAGTAGATGGTAGAAAGTGAAGATGAGGGGAATAGATAACAATTGATTCTTGATTTGAAATGCTTAAGATTTTATTGTTCAGGGAAGCACCAAGGTATAAAGTGGCAGTTCTTGGAGTTAAAAAGAGTCTGGGTGAAACTTTCTTCTGACATTGGTAATATAGGAGTAATGAGGGTGATTAGACTGCATGGAAAATGAACGGATGTATCCATATATGGATGTGTGTGTATAAAGGGATAATGTACAAGCACATGTGCACGCACGCACGCGCACACACAAATATATAGACCACAAAACACATAGATAGATAGATAGATAGATAGATAGATAGATAGATAGATAGATAGATATGAACAAGAACAGATTGAGATAGATAGATAGATAGATAGATAGATATAAACAAGAACAGATTGAGATAGATAGATAGATAGATAGATAGATAGATAGATAGATAGATATGAACAAGAACAGACTGAGATAGAGATAGATAGATAGATAGATAGATAGATAGATAGATAGATAGATAGATAGGAACAAGAACAGACTGAGATAGATAGATAGATAGATAGATAGATAGATAGATAGATAGATAGATTAAGAGGATTTCTTGGGAATGATCTTAAAGTGGTTTCTCGTTGCCTTCTCCACATTTTCGAATTCAGATTTCAGTTTTTGCGGACTGCCACCCAAGGCTAAAGAGTTTATTCTGCTTTATTACATAAACTATAGCTACCTAATCTTTTTTTGAAGTCCATAATTTTCCATTAGGCTATTTCAGAATATCAGACTATTTTTTCTCCACTGCATGACTTAGAAGAGAATCACCCTATATACCCGTGTATAAGCCGACTTTATGTACAATGCGACCTATGACTTTTTTTTTTTGGTATGAATTTTAAGCCCACAGGAAAAAAATTACCTGTGTATAGTGCAAGTGATCACCCAAAAGTCATGTTTTTAACCTTTTGTATAGTGTGACCAACTATTTTTGGCGTAAAAATTTGAACATAAAAACTCGGATCAAACTCAAGTATATGCGGTCTACTAATATTAATGTAATTTAATCTGGTTTATTTAAGGTATATTTTATGAAGCCAGAATCTTCAGCTATTAAATAAAAATGTTTTGTGTCTTATCTCTCATTAGTTTATTTACTGCTAAATAAAAAACTAGGAATTAAGACAGAAGATATCGAATGCAATGCCAACTGTTATCTTTTGTCATCTTAATTCCTGTTCTTTTATTGTTCTTTCTCAATATTGTTTTTCTTTTTCTCATATTCTTTCATACTCAGTAACCCCTTGCGACTATGTGGCTTTATTGCCTTGCTTGGGGAGCGGAGATGATTGAAAAAAAAATTGAACATCCTTTGCTAATTCCATAAGTTTGCCAGGGGATGCATTTCTTTCATAAATGTTTAGAAATAGTTCGTTGTCCTGAAAAATTGAATGATTCATTAGTTTACTATCATAAGACTTAACGATCTTCTATTATCTAGTTTCAGAAGAAGAGGTTTCCGCTTTTGTGGCGCAGATTATTGAGAGCGCAAAAGAAAAAATAGCAAAAGAGATGTCAGACGAAGGTAAGCATTCTTTATAACCAAGACTCCGAACAAAAAAAAAAAAAAATATCCGACAATGAACTGGCGATAGGAGATCGAATATCTCCTTTTCTTTACAGGTATTTTCTTTTTCCGACTTCAGTTGCATTAATGCCAAACTGAAAATATATGTCGTTTCAAACTCTTTTCTTTCTTCATCTGTTCTCTCTCTCTCTTAAATTTCCCCTCCCTCTCTTTCACATCTTTAGTTTTGGCATGTTTCATTGCATTTTGAAACATCGGTCCCCGTACGATCACCGCAGTTAAGCAACGTCAAGTCTAGTCAGTACCTATACGGGTGACCACTTGAGAATACCAAGTGATGCATGCATATATATGCTGATGGTGTAATGGATAATAGTTCGGAATTGGAATCGGAAAACCGAGTTCCAATTCCTGTTGGGTTCGTTATATATACTTATACACACTCTTTGGGAAAGGCATGAAACCGCCTCTTCTCTCGACCCCAGCTTTAATTAGTAGGATTTGTATGAGTAAATCATCAGTGTCTCTCCCAAAATATTATAATCTAAAAATATTGTCTGACTTTAAAAAGGTTGATAACCCGTAAAAAAAAACAACAAATTAATCTCATAACTCTTCGAGTCAAATACCTGGATTCAACTAACCGTTTTATCCACTGGGAAATGTCTCCTTGTGGATATCAGTGTGTGAATTTTGGGATTTATAAACCTAATGTCTCAGCAACCATTTTTTGTTGTTTCTGTTATTTGGTACAGTTCTTTGTTTGTGATTCTGTAGCGTCAATCTATGAGGTTCAGCGAAGAATTGTCCTCGTTAAGACCTCTAGGATTCATTTGTTCACAGGCATTTTTATCCATTAATCCGAGATTGCGTTTGTATACAGATGACAGTTTATATATTTTATGGACGAGTTTACTGACATGCATGACATTCATATGAAAGTCTCGATATGACAAGTTTATTTAAGAACTTAAATTGACTCGAGTTTTTAAGCTAAAGTTTGGGTTTTGTACCAGTTTCCGGTGTTGAGTGAAACTATAGTACTCAGTAAAGATCCAATAAAACTGGCAGATCGCAGATCATTACACTACGAAACCCTAGAGCAAACCTTCTGAAAGAAATCTTAAGCAAGATGAATTTTATATAGGACAACTAGCAGCATGGCCCGGCGTTGCCACGTGCTTGATGCAAAAATCGTACGACTCATACAGCAATCGCTATCACTTGACTTAAAATATTTTTGCCCTTCCTTGCCTTTAAAGGAGTGCCCTTTGCCGTGCTGATGTTGCTACATGTGTCCCGGACATTTGCGTACCAGACAATTACGTCACTGGACATTTGCGTCCCGGACAATTGCGTCACTGGACAATTGCGTACCTAGAAATACGTGTCATTGGATAACTGCGTACCTCCGATAATTTTTTGAAGCTTTTAAAGACAATTGCCATAAATTTTGAAAAAAGGTAAGGTAGTAACCATACATTTTTTTAAAAAGTGATAAAAGGAATAAAATAAAATAAAAAGTTTATTTTTGTTTAAAATGCAATGACACATTTAACAGTGTTGTAAGATCACTCTACACATCGCCGGTATGTTTTGGTTTCATTGTCGTTTTTCCTCGTCCACAAATATTTTTCCACTAGTGTTTGATTTTTAGAAATTAGCCATTGGTTCCAAAAAATCTCTATCTATAAAAGGCAGAATGTGTGTGTGTGTGTGTGTGTGTGTTTGTGTGTGTGTGTGTGTGTGTGTGTGTGTAACGAATGAACGGCCGCAATTTTCGACGGATTTGCACCAAAATTTACATGCACATGCTCCAAGTTAGCGGGAAGGCCAAGACCGACTTTGCATTTCCCAACTCCTATCGATAGTAGAAATAATCGATTTTTTCATACTTCTACGGCAGTTTTCATGTACATTGCAGCCATTTTGTACTGGCCAGAATGAGAGCCTGTAGCCGGCTGCCAGGGACGCAATTGTCTGGTATGTAATTGCCTTGTACGCAAATGTCCAATACGCAACTGTCCGTCCACTCTAAAAATTTAACTCATGCTTTGTCTTGACGTCTAAATTAATCGACTAAAACGTCTAAGCAAATTCGAGTTATTAAGGTTTATGGGATTCACATAACAACTTCAGACGGGCTGTAACTCTAAAATAATACTTCTTAATTAATACAAAACAAAATAATAAGCTAAAACTTGAAGGGGGAAATTATCACCGGTACTGATTGCCACTAGGAATACGCAAGAAAATCCTCAAGGAATTTAAATAAAAAATGAGATGAACACAAAATGAATCTTTTACAAAACAACACACTCAGTAGATTAGTTGCTCACCATATTGAGTTTGACCCTAATTTTAATTTAAAAAATTCTGCGAGAATTAAAATAAAAAGCAATCTACTAAAGTGAAAGCATATAGAAAGTGCTTTGATTTCACAATAATTTTATGGCCAGGTTCAGACAACATTTCACCGCAGACCATTTATTGGCAGATGTGGAATACTTAATAACCATAGTGATGAAGCAGAAAGTAAAAGAAAATGTAAAACATAATTAAAGAGAGAGAACAATAAAAGAAGTATTATGATGACAGAAAATAATTATTAACATTATATTTAAATTTTCGAAGATCAAAGTTGACTGGAAAGCAAGAAACTGTAATAAAGTTCTACAGGCGAGAAGATTGAGTGAGGAAACTGTTAACATAAAACTTGCAATTACACCTCACCATTTCAGGCATATGATGAATTAGACCTCACTGCTCAGTGCCCATCTTATAATATACTTAAATTCATAAAGATTAGGTTCCAAAGAGGAAAGCTCATGAGAACAATTATCATCAAAAATAATTCCATATAAAATTTAAAATATCTTTAAGTTGAACATATTAAGTTCAATTTTATCATTTTATCTAAATGAAATCGGCAAGACTATATACCCCCCCGCAAAAAAAAACAATTAAATTTAAAACTCTGTGTCGTGTGCTGTGTCACTTCAAGGCATTAGCGATCTAACAATTTGGCGATATTTTACGAACACAAAGCTCACCTTCATATTACTTTTTTTTTCTCCAGTGATTCTTCTTATTTATGTACCATGAACCCTCGGGATGTAGGCGATCGTGACCCTCCACGATTTCCTGTCCTTTGTAGTTCATAATAATTTTTTTTTTTTGTTATCTCTCCTAAAACTTGTTCTGGCATACATTTACTGAATGATCGCTGGGTAGGTTATGCATACTTTCTCCCTGACCTTCTTGACCTCAGTCTGTCCTGTGAGTGTCAAATTTTCCATGCACTCTTTCATCAATTGTCATAGATTATCCGAAAATTGTTTTGATATATAACTATTTATTTATTTATCTGCCCTCCCACACACACACACACACACACACACACACACACACACACACACACACACACATATATATATATATATATATATATATATATATATATATATATATATATATATATATATATATATATATATGTTTAGATTTAATTAGAAATTTTAATCATTTAATTTTAAAACAATGACCATAACTGAGGAGTGAAGGTAGTTAAAATAATAGCGGTGTCAATGGAAAAATTTATTTATATATTTACAAATATTATCATGGTAACAGCCCTGAGGTGCTATTTTCATTGGTGCGCCTACTGCATGAATTCACGCGTGCTATTTGGGTTGTCATCTCGGTCCTACACTTTTACTGTCGAAACAGTTAAATATAAGCGCCTCTTCAACTCTAGCAGCATCTTCTATCGCACTTCCCGACAGTGGAACTCCGTTCCTCTTACTTGCTTCCCTGATAACTATAATCTTCAAAAATTCAAATGTAATGTCAATTGACATCTTCTGATGCCTTGATCTTGTTCCTCGTCCTTTTCTTTATCCTTTCCGCAAACACCTCTCTTTACCCTTACTTTCACTCTCTGTAACCCCTTGCGTAAAAGTGGTACTGCTGCCTTGCTTAGGGTGAAATGCCTAAAAAATGCTTGATTTGATTGATTTGTTGTTGTTTTTTTTTCTTTTTTTTGTTTTTTGTTTTTTGTCTTTTTTGGTGGCGGGGTCTCTCTTTTTTATCAACCTTTTGCAGGTTATTTAGAGTCAGAAAATACTTTGAGATTTTTAGAATTTGTGGGAGATAAAAAGGACTGACTGATACAATATCTACTGGTTAACACATAGCTGGGGTAGAGGAGGAGGTGCGGTTTCACACCTTTTCCAAGGATATTTTCGAACAAGCGAAAAAAGAACCCAACTGGAATTGGAAATCGGTAAATCGAGGTTTAATACACCTTCCGCACATTCAAGCTCACAGTATCTTGCCTTCCCAATAGGACACCTACCTAGGTGAAATTCCTCTTTCACGTGCCAAACGTCTTATGGATTGAGTTGGATCTTTCCTAATGATCTCTTTAGCTCTAAGTTGAAATGATGATCCCTCTTCCTGTTACAACCTCCTGATTCAGTCTCCTCTCTACTTTTCCCTCTTTTTTAAACTTATTCACCGTTCTCATGATGTTCCTTGAATGGATTTTGAAGATGGAAGCCAGAGTATGAATGATGGTACCATTACTGAAGGCCTGAATGATTTTTTCCTCTCACTATTGCTCAGTTGAGAAGACAATGGGGCTGACACAAAACAATTTGATCCTGTTCTCTTTTTAACTGGATAACGCAAAGGGCTTTTTAGTTATTCTTACGAAAAATTGTCAAGATGGCTAATCATTTTATCTAAAGACATGGAAGAAAAGAAACTCAATTAGTTTAGGTTTCTTTTAGCTATTAAACATCTTTTGGGATGAATAATTTACGCTGTTACATGATTTGGACAATTTTGCTGTTACAGGAGGGTGCACCAAAAGTACTTTTACAAAGAAGGGCGGGTTCCTTACACAAAACAAGGATAAAAGTCCATATAAACATATATCTGAAAATCTCGTTTTTGAGCTAAGTTTAATTAAAGTTTACGGTATATGACGCTGTGTTAGACTAGGTTACATTTGTCATTCGTGTACAGTTGTGGCTAGTCTGTTTCCAACGTTTAACGCGTGTAGTAGTGAGTTAACAGAGAAGTATTCCGTTTAACAATGGCAGGATATTCATATCGTGAGCAGGCAAATATTATTTTGACATACGGCCGAGCAAATGGTAATAGACGCGAGGCTGCACGGCTGTATCAGATTGCATTTCCAGGTTGAAGGCAGTCAACTCATCCAACCTTTGCTGCTGTTTATCGTCGCGTTGATGATACAGGATCTGTGGCATCACAAACTATGGATCGAGAATAACCGAGATCCATTCAAACGCCGACCAGGAAGAACACATTCTAC